ATAGATAGATAGATAGATAGATAGATAGATAGATAGATAGATAGATATGGAGATGAAACCAGTAATAAATACATAGATAAACCCATACTAATATCAATTGTTTGGAATGCTTTTTATATATTCCTTAATTCAGTTTGTATTTAGAAAATGAGAACTTATGTACTGAAGATGGTGTTTGATTTCATTGTACGAGGTGCAATGACAATAAACTAAACTAAACTAAAGCAGTATTCCTAATGTATATACTCAATAGTTTACCTTAAAGCACTAGGTTGGATCCAATTTAGATCCACTTACCAAAGTAGGGCTTGAAGCAGTTAACATTTTAACAAATTAAAACTATTAAATCCAGCCTAGGACAGCAAAGAAAGTAAAGGAACTAGCAAGATTTCTTGAAATTATGCAATAAAGCTAAACTGCTTTTAAATTGTAGAGGTTCCATAAAGGACGAAACCGCAATAATTCTTATGAGAGAAAAAGTGCCACACTAAAGAGTAAAAAAGGCTCTTGGACCTCACATTGAAATCAATATGAAAAGATGGAAAATATTTTTACCCATATCTCTTCCAAAGCCTACGAGGTTTGGTGGGCCAAATATCCCAATAAATATATTTAGGACTGCAGCCTACAACTTGATTTAGAATTGCCCACAACTGCACGTAATCACTGCAGTATACCTATGCTGCGAAAGGGTTGAGGGTAGGTAAGCGTAGGTTGCAATTGGCTGCAGATGGGGCCGACACATACACTTCCCAAATCCCAACTGCACTGTGCTTCAAGTCAGTAGATCTGACTTGCTGTTCTGTGCTTTGCTCTTTGAGCACTCCCTAGCCAGAATGTTAACATTCACAGATGTATAAATGCAACACCTATGCAACTGTCTCCAAAAGACGGCATACGTTCACTGACGTGCAATGGGGTTTACTCACGATTCAATAATCCTCGCTCTAATTAATTTTTTCCCCAACAAATCTAAATTCATATTTACCCATTAATTTTTTTGTTTATTCTATTGCTTAGGAACCTTTTAAGACTGAGCTCTTCTCAAAGTTATTTTTAATATGAAACTAAAATGTATTATCAATTTATCAACAGTTTGAAAATGAGATAGTTAAAATAAATTATAATCATTTAATAGGAGCACATACTATGAAACCCTTTCACTTAAAAGCCAAAGAAAACAAATATTTTGAAAATCTTTCTGCATATTGTAAAATTCCAATTAAGAATTTAAAAAAAATATTTTAAACTGCTGAGACAAATATAGGTAATTCACGTTATCTATGGTAGTTAGATTTTGCAAAATTGCTGTGAATTCTAAAGTAGCAATTGCTGAAACCTTAATTAGGAATGTAGACGTGAAGCAGTTCAAATGTTTTGCTGCTCTGCGTGTCCATGAATAAATGTGAAAGTGGCAACAATATTAATTTTGCAGTTCCAAATACATTTTTGCGAATAAGTGAATTCAGGTATACTGAGTTCGCCAATAATGGGAATTGCCTGTAGATCCAGCTAAATTCTCTCCTGGACAGGAATTATTTATATGAGGAGCTGCCTATCATCAAAGCTTGTTAACCTGACCTACCTGAAAGCCAGGTGAGGCATTCCAACTATTATCTTTCAACATGAGCAAGTTCTTCCAAATACTCTGTATTCTCGGCATTTATTATTTGAAGTAAATACTAGCAGCTGAAACAAGGCCAGCAACCAATTTAGCTGGTTAAAAAATGCTATATTGTGATATGCTTATATTTAAACAGCATGGGACACTGAGGACAACATGTTCAGAAACTGTCTAGCTCTATGGTGATGGGTGCGAAGCACATCTGCATCTCTCTCAGTTGGGCAACTTGAAATGTGATTGTTTTTTTCAACAATAGACAAACCTCAGTGGGAGGGGAAACAAAGTCTAAATAATCTACCAACTGCTTTCTTAATTTATCCAATATTCAAAATGTAAGAATACCACTACTTGACAGCCTCACTTCTGAGGCAAAATTAGGCTTATGCATTAGGACAGCACAATGTACACTAGCAAACATTTCTCCTGATTCAACAATGAGAGTAGCATGACTTCCGGTTCAGGCTTCTTTGGCAACAAACCAAAATCCGTGATCGTGCACGGTTTTGATACCTACTTGCCGCTGGAGCGCCCCAAGCTGCCTGGATTCGGGGCTGAAGCCACCCCATAGAGATGGTGAAGAAGGGGGAGCTGTCAGCTGGGTTGAGGAGAGCCGCATCTCTCCTCCTCGGCTGGCCATTACTCCCTTTCCCAAAGGTGGTTGCAGAGGTGATCAGAAATGGCCACCTCAAAGAAGAACCCGACCGGACAAGATTGTGCAGGAGGAAGTTTAAAGGAGAAAGCTTGACTGACCGGGTTGAGTGGAGAACATCTATTTAAGGTACCTGGAACCTGAACTTTAAAGACTAATACTATTCCTAAAAAAGATCTTAAGTGGCGAAAAAGAAAGGGAAAGGAAACAGAATTGGCTTTTCTTCCTCTCATACTGACAGTTTTAATTGACTTGGAATGTTAAGAAGAGATTCGAATAAGAAATTGATACCAATCCACTTTGACATTAATAGGCTATTTCTAGCTGAAAATAAAGTGTCAAAGGGATAAAGATTCTTGGATAATTTAAAACATTTCTTAAGAAAAAAAAAGAAAGCAGAGGACAGAAAAAGGAAATGAGGGTGGAATCTGGAAAATGGAGGAGACCACCTGGAACTTAAAAAAATTGATAGTGGAATTTTAACAAGGCTTGCAAAAGATACATTGTAGCTGAAACTTTGTTACAAGACAATAAAGCCTCTGGAAAGAGAAAGTGAGAAAAGAAGCAAGAAACAGTTTTGGATTATTGGATAATTCCTGGAATTTTGGATGGTGGATCCTAATGAAACAAAATAAAATCAAATGGGGGTTGTTTAAAATTTTTTAAAATGGCATCACTCTTTGAAGAGTTAAAAATGAGACTTAAATAACAAAAAGAAGAAGCACAAGAGGGAAGAGGATGTTTTGGCTTTGTATTTCAATTTTTAGAAATGGAGATTTTGAATTATGAGAAACAACAAGAAATGCTGGCAGAACAAGAAGGGCGGGATAAAGAAGAAGCCATCTTTAATGACCAAGCAACTTTAAGCGGGGTAAAAAAGGGAAAGGGGAAAAAGGGAGTTAAAAACTTAAGCATTTTAAGCAACAACCAAAAAAAAGAGTAATTTGAAAAGCAATCATACTATCAGGAAGAAGCAGAACAGAGGATCACAGAAGTAATTACAGGGGAAAATTTGTTTTATGAGAAAAGATAATATGAAATTGTAAACAGGACAGATGAAAGTATAAAAACATTAATTAGAAAGATTTTAAAAATTAGAAAAAGATATGTAATTGAATTAAGAAAGGAAGGAGATAATTTAAAATAAGGCTATAGGAAGTAAAGAAAGGGAAAAGCTATTGAAAAATTGCAAAAATAGTTATAAGATATGGATTAGAATGTATAAGATAAATATGTATTGAGTTTATGTCTGTATGGAGAAGTGATAACCTGAGGTCACACTGTTCTAAAAAAAAAAGATATGAGTAGCATGTCAACACAGCCATGAGGGGGAGTCCTGGGTCTGCTTTTCCAAGACAAATGAAAAATCACTAAAATTGGTAGAACACCTCTAATTCCATAGTCATCAACAAATCCAAATTTCCATCTCCTCTAGATTATGCCTCAGTTTCTTCAGTTTCATCCCAGTCTGCCCATTAGCCAACTGAAGATTGTCTGGGACTAGCAGATGAAAAAATTAGCAGAGCATCATGCTGTTTGCATGCTAATGACCCTGCAGTTGAACTGTCTTCTTCCAGCAGTTTCTTACTGATGTTAAATGTGATTAAGGAGATGGTTCCTTTTGGTGACACGCAGGCTGAAGTTTGGGACATAAGCCCTCAAGTTCAACTTTCTAAAATAGGCAAAACTGAAATCACTCTAGTATTTTGGATTTTAAATACAGTTCAGCCATTTAGAAAAATGCAATGACCAAATATCTTGAAAATTAACCATCTATTTAGAAAAAATCTACCCAATAGTATTTGTTGAATGGGAAGTGTCAAAATCTGTAAGAGCTATAAAAAGATCGTGTGGGATTGCAATCCAAACCGTGTCCCTTTTGTGTATTGATAGGACATGCATATGCAAAAGGGTAGAGTTTCTAATAGGACAGAACTCCCAACATCTTGCATATTTTGGCACACACACTCACATTCCTACATATGACTATGAATTCATTGCATGCAGATCATCCCTCTACTGTATGCCTTCAAGGTTGTTTCTATCAAACACGAAGCCACACTGGAATGGATTTAAATAATCAACATACAGCCAAAATAAATCATATATCCTTGCATTTTGAAGCCCTCAAACAGCTGATTCTTCTCACTATCAGTGGGGTAGAATGAGGCTGAAGCCCAGCAAGATGGTATGCTAATGTTGAAAGAGTTTTGCCCTATAGCACCATGCATTTTTATTGCAATTATTTAGGAGACGTATGTGCTGTTTTTATTGTTTTGTGAGTCACCCAGAGTTTTGGTTACAATATGAGGAGCTATTGGGTCTTTTAAAGAAACAAGCAAACAAATAGTACCTGAATTTAAGAAGTCAAGTTCTGTTTTGAATTTTGCTCATAATAGAGAAGACATATTTAACATATACTAGAGTTTTGGCTTTGCTTTTTCATGAATAGTTTAATCACTGCCTGATTATAGGTAACAGGCACCATGCCTTCCTTCAGAAAAGTATAAACCAATGGTAAAGAAATATTTTTGTAGGAAAAGCTGTTGACCCATGCAAAGGTTCAGTTGGAGTCCAGATCTGATTGTGAGAGAAATCAGAGCTAATAGAGATGGCATTACAGAACTACATAGCAATTTCTCTATGTTCACTCCACTGGCTTTCTCTATGTGCACATATTTACCCATTCAGCAAAGGAAGCTATTATCAATAAAAGTTCAGAGAACAAGACTGGACTCACAGCTGGATAATGAACACCACAGAACAAGCATAGGTAACTTGTTCAAGGAGGACCAGCAATTTCAGTGTATGGAACACAATATCTATTCCACCTACACTATTTCAAATTAGATTTCACGTAGCTTAAGTTGATTATTGGGTAATAATTTCTTACGTAACCAATTAATACTTCAGAAAAGCCTCAAATCTCTAAGATTATCTCAAATTTGGAGCTGTAGATACATAAGTAATGTGGAGTTTCTAAAGCAAAAGACAGTAGAATCCTTAGCTCTAATGCCAAGCGTGACAAGGTCTAATGCCAAGGAAGCTAGACTACATTTTGGGATTGACTTACTTGTTGTTCTTTGGGTGGTATCCACAAAACGAAATATTCTTCAACTGGAAAAAGTGGCTACATTTATTTCCCTGCAGAAGGTAAAATAAGAAAAAGGATCCAAGTTATCAAATATATAATAGGCATTTCTTAAACAAAAGAACAAGTTAAATGCTGAGTTAAAAATTAAGGATGTTGCATAGAAAAAAAATTAAAGGTTGCTGTATGACTATTTGCAATTTTTTGCTTTGCACGAAAGCTTACTAACCGTGAAAGAGAAAGCTGCATCCCAAACTTTCCTACTCTTACTAAAAGCTTCTATATGACAAGGGAATTTGAAAAGGCAATTTGAGGCTTAGGTAACAGGAAAGCAGCAGTAGTAACAGAACAATGGGATAATTCCAGGTACTGTTTATATAGGAGCCTAGCCCGCATTCTATGGTAATTCATCTGGAAGAGTTTGTAAGCCATTAATGTGAGCAAGATTATCTCTAAAGCTAGACCAGAAATCAAGTGACTGTGATTTCTAGTCCTCCCTAGGAATGGAAGCTGGTGGGATGACTTTGAATCAAGCTACTTCACATGGTAATTGCTATAAGAAAAATGGCAGTAGGGAACAATATGTGGCACTAATAAATGCGAATATTTGTAGCTCAGGGTTGATATGAGAGGTCCTTGGTGCTCTCTGAGCTTGCTTGTTTTCCTGAAAACATTTCATTACATAAACTAGGTAACATCATCAATGCTGGTACTGATACATTCCATGTCCTGAGTTGGACAAAACAAATGGCTGGATATTAATCTAGTAATTAACCTTCAACCATCATTCATGGATTCTCACTGCAATCAGAGTTGGGAAAAAAATCTGTGTTATCTGCACCCAGTAGGATCAATTTGCTTGCTGAATAAATTAAGGGGTACGTTTTTCCTTGTGGTAATAAATTGGCTTATTTACCCCAGTGGATACAGTTATACCTTATGAAAATTGAGAAAGTAGGCAGCATACAAGTCCATTTACCGAATGAATAAATAAATATGGTTTTCTTCACAATTTTAAACACAACTAATATGGATAATAATCAAAATCATATCTGCCTGCATAATATTAAACTGAACTAAATTTAGTATGCTTGTGTACTAAAAAAAGCAATGTAAAATAACTGGGAATATTTGGGTTTATAAGAAAAGAAATACATTTAAAAGTTGGGCAAAACTTTGAAAACAGTTGTATCTCCCTCTCTTCCCCCTTCCTTCCTTCCTTCCTTCCTTCCTTCCTTCCTTCCTTCCTTCCTTCCTTCCTTC